TGTCTCATGAACCAAATTGCCATAGTTCAACAACAGATGATAGCATGAAAAATAGAAGAATGAAAGTTATTTGTAAGACTGAAAGTATGAAACAAGTATTTGGTTTCTCGATGACTTTTCAAGGTTTGAACGAAATACTCAACGTAGTAATAATAGTGTCACTTATATTAATATAAAAGTTGATACAACGATCATGAAAATTTGACCCCTATAAGGGTCTCCGATTACAAAGTTCGAGAAATTTAAAGACTTTTAGCCGAGGTCCTAAGTTATAACAGAATTTGAGGTTTTCACAAGCACTACTTGCGATGTGTGTTGCGCTTGGAGCTCGATTCTGCATCTGATTGCTTCAACTCCATAAGACGCCTATCAAAGGCGGCTTGTTGTTCCCTCAATTCTGCAAAGGCTGCATTCGCTTGTGCTTGGAATGCTTTGGCGCGGAGGTGGATGTCGTTCTGCAACATCTCTAGGCGGTTGATATCGACCGTGTGGACTTGTACTTCCACGTTGACCTCTCGGATTCGGTTTGCTTGAACCCACGATTGGTAGGACTGGTTGGCCAGTTTACCTACCATTGCTGGAAGTGCTTGGTCGGCTGAACCCTCGTCCCTGATGTCGTAGAAGTCTCGACACATTTCGTAAGGAGACCGTATCCCTTGTTGTTGGCTCCAGTGGACGAGGTGACTTCCCCAAACGGGAGTCGGTCCTAGAAAGTTCCTCCTAATGGGTGGAGGGTTGACTATTTCCGATTCTGAGTATGTCCCGGAGTCGTCCCTGCCATCCAACTCAATGGGCTCTTCGTCCTCCTCCAGATCCTCTTCAATCCATCCTCCGTTGCCTTGTTGTGGGTAGTAGGGGTCTCCATGCTGGTGAAATCCAGCCATTTTGACTATACGAGAATAGGGTTATAAGATTTGAATAAAACTTGAGGCATGTAATACTAATTAATCTAGTGTATGCACCAAATACTCCTCTAGTATTTAATTTGTACGTTAGATACTAGTGTCTATTTTGTTAAGTTTTGACTTGTTGCTCACTACGATCATTCCTTGACATATGTTAGTCAACTTTCGGATAAACATAGTTGATCAGGCTATATTCGTCCCAAATTTGATTACATATCTCGAGAATTAGTCGTAGTGTCCAACTTGTCCTAAAACTTTTTGTATAGTTCTTATCATAAAAATGTGGCGTTGTATGCATGTATTTCGGATTTTTATAACCTAAAATAATCTATTTATGTTAAATAAGGATTTTAGGTACAAAAACTTTTGTCAGAGACTTTGAGTCCCTAAGCATTTATAGTTTGTATATCTTATGAGGTTCGATATACTTAGTTCACTATAAACATTGCTCTGATACCAATCTGTCACACCCCCAAACCTGAACGACGGAAACGTTCGGGGGCGGATGACTTCATGTAGTAACGTAACAAATGAATACTTAGCAAAGAAAGCAAAACAACCATCATATATATATATATATATATATATATATATATATATATATATATATATATATATAATTGAAAGTTTACATTTGTCAAAAGTTACATGTTCAAAACCAATTACAAATATGATGTCAAATATATGAGATTTAACTGGCGCCGCATCATCCCTTCATCAAAAGCATAATGATACCTGTAGTTACTGAATCCTTGGGACATATAAGTAATTTTGAAAGAGTAGATCTGCATTTAATCTGGTGAGTTTCATAAGTATTTAATGACAATGTTTGTATGAAATGAAATGTCTTGTCCTTGTTGGTTTGTGTTTAGAAAATCCTATATTTTCTACTAGTATAAAAGTAGTCTTCCTTCAAGACCAAAGTTTGTTTCCAAAAATTGTATGTAAGTGTAAAAATAACCAATATGTTTGAAAACCTCGTAAATCAATGTATTTTTAATACCTCATGTGAGTTTTATAACCATACTATCGACTCGGAATGCCTATACACAACGTTCTTTAGGCGTTGGAATGTTATGACGTTTGTCAACCCAAATGGTGGACTGTAGATAACAGTCAGGGCGCGGGTTGTCAAGCCCGTATAGATCTATACACAAACACCATGCTCCCCCTCCAAGGGATTCTGGTATATAATACAGGACTTGAAATGTGTACTCAAACGTACGTGAAGTTAATGTCTCACAGAACCGTAGTATAAAAACAGATTTACATGTTAAAATGTTCGTTTGCTATTGTATATGAAAGTGATTTCTTGAAAATCGTGTTTCTAGTATGTAAAAGTTAGAAATATCCTCATAAAACTATACCTATTATAGTTTTCTAAAAGTGTGCCTCGTTTGTTTTAGAATATCTAGAAAAGAAATCACTTGTTATGAAAGCATAGATTTTTGTAGAGCCTAAGATAGACACATATACTTTAAATCTAGGGAAAATGTTTAGTTTATACATGCATTACAACAATTTATAGTTTTAAAGATAGAATGCTATTGTAATATATTTTGTATATGGGAGTTCCCTATAAAGTTTATAAATCACCTATGATTCTTCTTAATAAAAGTGTATAATAATCTTTATATATATAACACCCGATAGTAGTCGTGTGTTTTACTTGTATTTCCCCCCTTTAGAAAGCATATAAAAGCATTTAGAATATTTAAAAAGGGTTAATTAAGGGGTATGAACTCACCTAAAAGTTTGAAGATAGCGAGATAGAAAAACTGGGCAGAGTTTCGTCTCGGGAAACGAATTTTTCTTGGGATTCTCGGGAATCTAGGGAGTAAAATCGACCCTCGGAACTTGAGCAAAATGACCAGGGCTTCGGGGTAGTGCAGGCACGGAAATGAGGCAATATCGTGAGAGAAATGAGAGAGATGGGGTAAGTTTTCCGGAACCCTCGCATCTCTATTTATAGGAGGCTGAGAGGCCTCGTTACGCGGGGCGTACGCGTACGTCATGTGTGACCGAGTCCCCGACTGCCTCGGAGCTCGGATGGGACGGGTCAGTGGTTCGCACAGGCGCGACGTGGACGATCCGAGGCCAAGGCCTTCGCGTACGCGGGGCGTACGGGGTTACGCGGCGCGTAACTCGGATGAGTACACTGACTCCCCCTTCGGATAGCACCGGATTTTGAATTAAATAAATATAAAATTTATTTAATAAACTTCAAAAATTCATATCTACCTCATACGAACTCCGTTTTCGACGTTCTTTATACCCCCGTCCGTCGACAAATTCCGAAATTATTTTTATTATTTATTTATAAAATATCGTGATTAAGAAATTTCTTTAAACAATTCATAACTTCTTTATCTGACGTCGATTTATTGCCAGACTTTTTACCGCTGAAATACCATTGTCGAGACCTTCGATTCTTGTTTAGGTCATTCCGGCTAAAAGTCGCTCGATCTCCGATTCGAGTTTTTAGTTGTCTGCTGCTAAGCCAAATTTGGAAAAATCTTAACTTCAATATACGAAGCCGGATTTGGGCATTCTTTTTACGTACGATCCCGGCATAATGATATAAAACATAGTAGGTAGTTAAATAGAAACTTTTTGGACATTTTAATATCAACGTTAATTTTATTAACTCAAAAGTGGTTATAATACTTAACCTATTAGGCCATTACAAAGAGTTGAAATATCGGGTTGTCACAGAATCCGATTATTAATTTAATGTTGTTATTCGATATTGATAGTTCGGGGATCTGTCAGCCATCACCCAGGGATTTTATAGTGCGAGGTGAGTTTATTCACTGGATTTAATGGGTCGAAGGAACCAATGTCGACCCATGGTTTATATGTTTGGATGTTAAATTCCTGCGTGACTCTTGCATACCAATTGTAGTTATGGGCTCAGACACCTAAATCAACAATTACAACTAGTAAAAATGATTTATCTTCCTTTTATAAAGTGTTATGATTTTGTATAAAAAGCATGTCACAAAACATGTGTCATAAATGGTTATCAACTTTGTAGTTTTCAACTTATATCATGCATACCTAACTATATATATATATATATATATATATATATATATATATATATATATATATATATATATATATATATATATATATATATATATAGCTCACTATAAATAATTTTAAGTATGGTTTACTTATACAAAACCCCGTTTTGGCTTTAAAAATTCTTTACAAACTCATATTCAAGTATGAATTTGCTTACAAAGAAAACACTTAAATGATTTAAAAGTATCATTAGTGCTGATAGCAGAAAACCTATAACTCTTAGTAACCTTGTGTTGATCCTCATAACTACATTTATTCTTAGGAAATCAGTAAACAATATTTCAGACATAAGGTTAGTTATGGATTTCAGGCGTCCTAGTTATCTGATTTTATTTTGTTATATTTTTTACCACTTTAAGGCAATTCATGTACTATACTATTATTTGTAAGAATTATGTATTCAAACATCAAAGTGGAATTTAAATGTTGTTTTGTTTATTGTTGTACTTGTTCTCTATATTCAGTTAAATGTGATCCATGAACTTAGTTGGATAACTCGACATGATCTGCCGCCTCAGTTGGGGGTGTGATATGATTCAACACGTGTTGTTCATTCAACATCTACTCCCTTCGTAGCCTTCCTATGCCTTGCGAAGGGCAAAACCCACAATTTCCAATTCAACTTCAAAATAGTCATAACTTCTTCAGTTCAACTTCGTTTTCAACGTTCTTTATATGCACAAAAAAGTATTGAAGAGTCTCACGGTTCTCTCTAGTTACTTTTGGGTTGATACATATGAAAGTAAAACCATAACCCATGCAAGAAATCGGACATATAACTTTTCGCATTTTACCCTTTCATTTCAGCACACAAATCAAGAGCTTAGATCTCACAACTAATATTATCAATCTTCAATAAGGTCTAAATTTTACTTTTCTCAAAGCTCAAAGTCTTTACTTGATCGAATTACGGTTCACAAACTCTGACTTAAGAAATGTCCCGATACAGTATGTTACAAAAATGTTAATCGATTTGGTTTAGTTAGAATATGATAGTTTTTTGTACGTATTTTAACACGTATTATTTTATTCACGTGTTTTAACAATAGGATGAAACGTTTAACATAGGCAAATCAGTGAACATGGTGCTTTTAATTTTTCATCAGCTAATATTAAACTACAAGAATGGAACTTAATTAGAAAACATTAGGAGTCCTACTAATTCTATCAAATACCAAAGCTTCCTCTAAGTAATTCTATTTAATTATTGTGAATGGATACGACAAATATGCTTATGATAGAACTCAACAACTAGAAATTGAAACCATTTTTCATTTTAATATATTTTTATTTCAAAGTTTAATATATGATCACTGCATTTCCATATCCTCCTTTGTGTCTTGTAACTCTTCTTCCTTTTGCACAAACTCCATTTCCTTGCTCTTTCCCCACAACACACAATACAGTCCCAACACGATCATGAGTGACCCTAGCAGCCTGTGATCAGAAAACGATTGACGAGATTAATCTTTTTAATTTATACACTAATTACAACAGTAAAAGTTATGTTATTGTTTGGTACCACTTACGTTCCAAGGTATAACTTTTCACGTAGAAGTGCCCAGCTGAGTGCTGCAACGATGACCAACAATAAGGGGCTAAACACAGAAACAAAGAGGGGGCCTTTTTTATCGATGCACCATGACATCATGCAAACGCCTATTCCGGAACATACGACTCCCTGCAAATGCAATGATAATCAAATAATTAATTAAATGTTAAACTACGATAGCTAGGTGTTACTATTATAAATTAAAATATGGTATTGTCATACCGAGTAAATACATGAGATGGCCCTGATGGGTGGAACAAGAGACCATTCATGCAAGTGCGGCTCCATGATCAGACCAAATACTGAGCATTCAAATGTGGCCATTGCCATCATCAACGCTGAGCTCGAATAGGGTGCTGGATACATGTTGCCCATTCTTGCCTGAATTTGTGGTAATTACAGTTAGTTTTGCTATCAATCCAATAAAGTTTAAATGAAGGTTTTTTTTTATTATGGCTTACTTGGATAATAAACCAAATTGCCCAAGTGAAAGCACTGATGATGATTAAAATTGGACCAATGAGATTCCCTTGAGTATCCCCATTCGGATCTTTGGTGATCGTATTCTTCATAATGTTTACGTCAATGCCTGATTCACCAATTGGTACAACAGGTCCATGGTACATAGACAAGAGCATGGCACCCCCCACCCCGATTAATGTTCCCATCAACTTTGCTTGTCCAGCCAATGTCTTTAACTTTGCATTTTCTTGCCTATAAAATTTAAAAAAAAAAGCCATATATTCAACAGTTTTGCAACAGTTTTGAAACAGTTTTGAAAAGATACATAGCAAGCCTTGTATATATTACTTGAAGATGACGGCAAGGACAAAAGTGAGTGCTGGAAGGAGATTTGATAACGCACATGCAATGGTTGGCGTCGAGTTCTTTAAACCAACAAAGTATGTGATTTGGTTTGCTGTCAACCTGATAAAGATTTCCGCCCCAAAAAACTAAAAATTGAGCATTTCTGAAACATGAATAAGAACATATATAGATAGAAATAATTATAAGGAGTAATGATCAACTCACCCAAAAATCGAACAGAAGAAAATTTGGATAAAAATCGACCAAGTCATTCGAGGTCTTTTCCCTCTGCGTATATATAACATAAAAGAAACTTATTTAACATTTTTGCATCATCTTGAAATCGAACATTTTTGTTTATAACTCATTATCCGACACCTTTTCCGAATTTAACAATTTTCAGTTATAATCTTTTGTCTGCTAGCTTCCTTTTATTCGTGGATCACTTTGGCTGGTTGTTGGATCCAGTCAAGCATATACATATAAAAATTTATTCTTCTACATTTATTTAAAATAAGAGACTAGGATTCAAGATTTTACAAGTAAATAAACGGTATATATATGTGTACCTTTCGACGAAATATGCCAAAGGGCCGAGGGTGACTGAAGCAAACATCTGACGGTAGGCAACATGGATATAAGGATTCATGCCAGAATCCAATGCAAGCTTTGAGAGGATGTTCATGCCTGCAAATTCAAACTGCACAAGTACCATGATTAACGAGGGTAGTAGCTCCTGCACCATTCTTCTTTTTGGTGCCTTATAATATGTATTAACGAACTGAGGGAGGCACACAATTGTGTGTTTAAGAAATGATATATATATATATATATATATATATATATATTATATATATATATATATATATATATATATATATATATATATATATATATATATATTGAATGTGGTTGAGTGATTACTTGTAGAGAAGAAAATGCATGCATTTTATGGCATATTGGGGAAAAGGCTCACATTTTGTTGTAGTCTTGATACGGAATGTGTGTAATGATGTAATCTAGTGCTCAATGATGCTTGAAAGCCATATTTATGTCTTTTTGCCGTTTAGGCAAAACTTGTAGCAACAAAACACGCATACTAGCACGAAAAATGGCATGGGTGATATCATCAGTACCTTCACAATTTTGTAAAGACACCTTTTTGAGGAGGAGAAAGTTATCAACAATCTATGAGATCACCTGTTGTATCCTGTTAACAAATATTCTACTATGTGTTTTGGACTTCATTTCAGATAATTTACGTGACGTCTTTAATTTCTATTCTTAGTTGTTTATTTTTTAACAACTTTATTCTCATCAGGTGTTATAGGATCAAATACAAGAAAATTGCAACCTAGCTATTTTTCTTAAGTTTTTTATTACTACACCACGTCTTCATTTATTCATATTATTTTGATATTTTGATTTGTACGTTAAAATATTACTTAATTATAGCTATGCCATAAAAATACGAAATACTTTTCATTGTCATAATTGATGGAAATGTTCTCCTAAAATAGAATAATTACCCATTAACTCATTTATTTATTATTAACCTTTAAATATACACCATATTTACTCATTTATAACCTTGAATGAAGCAATTGTGTTCCACAAGTTTCTGTATTTGTCTTATTAGAAAATGATTTAGGTATTCAATCATCAATCAAATACTTCGGTTTACTTATCTATTAAATGATTGCAATTTTTAATACTGACGAAGAACACATGACTTTTATGGTTCAAAGGAACGGATTTCATGGTTCAAAGGATGCATCGCATCGTAACTTGAAAAGAAAAACATAGTTGTCTTGATTGTTATGTAATGATGTTTCATATTTTATTTCAAGTTTATGTAAAATAAATTATTGTTTGCCAAAAAATTTATATGTAACTTATTCATACGGTTAAAATTATATTTTTTCTATCAAATGCATATGTTGGTAATTTTTTTTCCATTAAACCAACGTAACGTATAACGAATGAGATGGAAAACGGGCAACAACTTGAGACCGCAAAACCTTTTTGTTGGTAAAATTGTTCTTATTTAAACATTATTTCAAAATTAAATACTTAACTAGTACATCCCCGTTTTGTTGTAACTTATTTATACGATTAAAATTATATATTTTGTATCAAATGCATATGGTTAAAATTATATGTAACTTATTTAAAATTATATATTTTGTATCAAATATATATGTTGGTGAAAATGATTCTTATTGAAAAATTGTTTCACAGTTAAATATTTAACCAGTACATCCCGGTTTATAATGATACATTTTTTGCTCATAGAATAAAATATGTATATTTCACCTAAGTTACATGAAATGGAACAAATGTGAATGGTCGTTACTAAACAATCATTTAAGCCTTGATTTTATTAAACTATATTAGTCAAAATTTAGCTGCATTATCATTTATTTTGGGACAGTTGTTAGGTGACAACAAAACAAGCTAAACACTTCAGACAAATATCAAAAAAAATAACCTTTAGTGAACTAACAAAAATTCTAAAAAACATAAGTCAACAGAACGCGATATTTAGCGTGGTTCGGTCAAGGTGACCTACATCCACAGACGAACGAGAGAGAGATTATTTTATTAACTTTTTGGAACTATTACAAGCACTCAAAATTATATGTCACTTTGAGCTCTCACAAAAATCTAGCAATTTACAATGATAAGGGTATGAGTCTATTTATACTTGAGGGTTTAGACCTAAAACCCTAATGGGCCAAACCCATTGGCCCATAGGTCGATGAAAGGTGACAACTAATCATATTCTGCCATGTAACATCTTTTGGAACATTCTTCCATGTCATACAACCCATGAGCATCAATAACACACATGATGGACCATCTTGACCATAGTGGAGCATCATGATCCACAGGTGGCACATCATGAACACTAATGGTCATACATCCATCATGGTTACACGACATGGTGTAATCCTTTAACAATACCAACTTTTGAGCATCCTTGAATGATCTTGAGCATCATAGAGGACTTCATAGCATACTTGGCTCATCAAGGACCAAGATGGTCCATCTTGACGCATCATGGCACAACAAGAATATGGATGATGCAAGTGGCTTCAAGTGTGGCACAAAAAATACAGATTGGAGCAAAAACACCATCATGGTGCAACAGGAACATGCATGGAGCAACAAGGTCATGCATGTCACTAGAGCATCCTTCATGGAGCAAGAGGAGTACCCCATGGCGCAAGATGGATCCTCATGGCGCAAGAGGAACCCCTCATGGCACAAAAGGGAGCATTATAGCGCAAGAAGAAATGTCTTGGTGCAAGAGCGTCCTTCTTGGCCCAACGCTTTAGCATATGGCGCAACAAGGTCCCCTTGTTTCTCCATATCACTCCCAAGTGCTCCAAACATATTCCAGGTGTTCAAAACCCCCCATCTGAATGATCTGTTCCTTTGGCACTTGATTTGTTCCTTTGTCAGACGATCCATTCCTTTCTCATATGATCTATTCCTTTTGTACATGCTCCATGAACCCAAGTGCTCTAGTATAATCTAAATGCTCCATGTTGGACAAGACTTCATACCCCAACAATCTCCTACTCGAAGGATTGAACAACTTCATTTTCCATTCAAATTTCACTATTCCTTAATGTAGTCCTCTCTCTCTTTCTCTCTCTCTCTCTCTCTCTCTCTTTCTCTCTCTCTCTCTCTCTCCCTCTCTCTCTCTCTCTCTCTCTCTCTTTCTCTATCTCTCTCTCTCTGCTAAGCCCTTTTCTATAAACTTCTGTAAGGCCAGTTGATGCCATGCAAAGCTTCAACTTCTCAATGGTAACCACCTTGGTGAACTTATCGGTTGGATTTTCGTTTAAAGTTTTTTCTTCAAGTTTATAGTTTCTTCATTGATTAACTCTCAAATGAAGAGGTGTATCATCTGAATATATTTCGTTTTGCTATGAAACACTAGATTTTTAGCTAAGTGAACAGCACTTTGATTGTTACAATGCAGTACACAATCCTCCTATTGCATTCCAAGTTCGAGAAAGAAACTCTTCAACCATATGAGCTCTTTGGCAGCTTCTGCAAGTACCACATATTCTACTTCTGTAGTTGAACGAGCAACACTATTTTATAACCTTGACATCCAGCTGATTATTGTACCTCTAATTCTGAACACATAACCCATAGTGCTCTTGCCTGAATCTACATATCCACTTAATTCTGCATCATCAAACCCTTTTAAAACCACTTCTTTTCTTCTAAAACACAAGGAAGACTTAGTTGTTCCTTTTAAGTAGCGTAACAACCATTTCACTCCTTCCCAATGTTGTCTTCTTGGATTTGACATGAATCAGCTCATAACTCCCAGTGCATGAACAATGTATGGTCTGGTTCATACCATTACATACATTAAACTCCTAACTGTAGATACATAGGGCACTTTAGCCATGTATTCTTTGTCTTCTTCCATTTTTGGGGATTGCTTCTTGGGAAGTCTCAACTGACTCCTGAATGGTGTACTTCTGTCTTTCGCATCAGTCATGCAGAACTTTTCTAAAACATTCTTAATGTACATGGTTTACGAAAGTTTTAGTTTACTGATAACGTTATCCCTAGCTATTCTCATGCCCAATATTTGTTTAGCAGCCCCTAATTCCTTCATCTCGAATTCACTGGACAACTGCTTCTTTAGCTTGTTGATCTCCTACATGTCGGATCCAACAATCAACATGTTATCAACATATAACAATAGGATGATATAAGAGGACATGAAATTCTTCAAATAACAAGAATGATCCATCTCACATATGTTGTACCCATTCCTCTAAATGAAGCTATCAAACTTCAAGTACCGCCTTGGAGTCTACTTTAAGCCATACATAATTTTCTTTAGTTTTCACACCAAATCTTCCTTGGAAACTGTAGGAAAGCCTTCTGGTTGTGCCATGCAGATGTCTTCTTCAAGGTCACCGTGGAGAAAAGTTATTTTCAATTCACATCTAGTTGCTCTAGATAGAGATCTTTAGAGGCCACAATTACCAAAACCATTCTGATTGTAGTTATTCTCACAATTGGAGAAATGATCTCATTATAATCAACCTATGTCTTCTATTGGAACCCCTTGACTAACAACCTTTCCTTGTATCTCTTGGTGCGATCAATCTCATCCTTAACCCGAAACACCCGCTAGTTTTATAGTGCTTTCTTCTCTAACAGGAGCTTGACCAAGGACCAAGTATGATTCTTATCAAGTTAGCTCAATTCTGCTTCCATAGCCTTCTTCCACTGTATGGATTCTTTCACCCTCAAGGCTTTTAGATAAGATTTTGTTGGGCTGAAGATCATTTTTGTTGATTGCGTCTTTTGGGCTCGTTTAGCTTAAGGCTTTTTGTGTACCGGTTTGGGCATGTCCAACCGTGAACCTTTTATGTTTTGTATATATGTTTACGCTTGCATGCATATCAGGTTAAGGTTTTAGAGATCTGAGAATAGCGATACATCTAGACGACAACAGGTTTCTTTGATCGTTCTTGTAACCTTCCAATCCTCTACAGTTGATGTTCTTAATCGAGCTCTTCTGAGGATTTTGTTTAATCATTCGACACGTTTGATTCCATCTTGTCTTGTTCTTATTATTGTGTTTATATCGTCTTTGTTTACTTACTTGTTCAAGATCTAATCGATCTTTATAAATTAAAGGTTAGTTTAATCTTAACAATTGGTATCAGAGCAGGAGGCTGTGTAATCGATACACATCTTTTCTGTGAAAAAGATTTCCATTAGGGTTTTTCCGCAATTATCAATATTTATTGAGCCGTCATCTCGTTATTGACGTATCTTGATATTTATTATTTTGCCCTAATCTGCTTTATTACAAGTCTGATCTTTGAACAGGTCTTTACGATCATAATGGACGCGACACAATCAAACCTTATTAATATTTCCAACAGCATTGGTTCGACGACAAAGATTCCAATCTTATACACCCATGACTATGAAGTATGGGCGCATCACTTCGAAGACTACGTTATTGGGTCGGAGGATAATGGGTACCTCATTTGGGAAGCCATCACCAATGGACCGTTTTCTCATTCTGCAACGTCCAGAATCATCAAGACACAAAAAGAGTACAATGATCTGCTAAAGGACGTGAAGGATATTGCACAAGATGAAAAGGATAAATTCCAGTGCAATATCAAGGCATTAAGG